ATAAGTTGGGTACATATTAAGGTGGGGTAAAAATACAAAAGTTGTTGAAATTAATTTATATAAAAATTTAAAATTACTTTCAACATCATCGCTACCTGAATGATTTTAACATTGGACAGTACATAAAATTAATGTGAATTTGTCTAACATTGACTTTAACATATAGATTAAGAGTATATTAATTATATTTTTTCACAATTTCAAACAAATGCTAATGTAATAAAGCCTTAATTAGAAAACTCACAAAGTTTACATTCATAATTTTTTTAAAAAAATTGAAGGTCACTTTTTTATTTATAAATTTAAAAAATTTATATCCTTAAATAAACAAAATACAAATTTCATATGCTTATCTCCTCATGTATCTCAAATTTGGCGGGTATCCATGTTTCTTTTTTGTGGGCTGCTGATGAACTGTTGTGATCAAGGCCCAAGTCTTATTGGTCTCGTTAACCTGATACTCACCCAACTCTAAAGGCGTATTTGGTTAGGGCTAGCACGCCCCCTAAACCTTTCTTTTCGTAAGATTATAGGTATATTTTTATGAGAAAACTGATTTTCAGTACGGACTGTAAAAAAAAATTACAGTCCATATTCCAAAAACGACATCGTTCTTTTTTTTAATCTGAAAAAAGCCCTCATTCCTAAACTCAAACGTGCTCGTCGCCATTCTTTCTCAAACTACACGACCTCGAACTCACCGGAGGCAATTCCGGGTACAGTGACTTCCTGCTCACTCTAGACCCCCTGAACTCCTCCATAGAATCCAAAATCCTGTGCCACAAAAACCAACGCTTAGCTCTCACGAAATGCTAGAACTAGATTGAGCGCGACCCTTTATTGAAATTCAAATGTAAAGGGAGCTAAGATCGAAGACCTATGAGGAGGGAAAATTCATGAACTGAAGCCATTTCGCGTTGAACGTGGCGTCCAGGAAGTCATCGGAGTATTGCCGATGGTGGTGCGCCGTGGCACTAGATCTCGCCATCTGTCTTCCGACAACGTTCATTCTCTCCCCCAAAATCACTCTCAATCCTTCCAAAGCAAACTATCTCTCCGGCTGTACATAGTTGCTTCCAAAGCTCAGAACTTTTATCAGGTCTTACTTAATAA